TGGGTTTTTCTGGGGCTGAGAGTGTGTGACTCGCCCAAGGTCACCCAAGGGTTTTCCATGGCTAATCCCCTCCTAAAACACCTCCATTTTGTGGTATCTGCATCCACTTGGGAAAATTTGCTAGCCTCTTTCCTTGAGGATGCTTTTTGTATGGCTTTAATTATATTGTGCTTATAAATTGTAAGCCACTTTGAGTCCCAGTTTTGAGTCCCAGAAAGCAGGGTATAAATAAATATTATAATAATAATACAGTGAGCCCTCCATATCCATGGATTTTTTGTCCATGCATCCATGGCTTGAAAATATTTTAAAAATATATAAATTCCATAAAGCACATTTTGATTTTTGCCATGTTGTATAAGGGACACCATTTTATGGGAGACGCAGGATATATAAATAAACTATATTATTATTATTATTATTATTATTATTATTATTATTATTATTATTATTATTATTATTAATGGGGCTTGAGCATTCATGGATTTTGGTCTCCATGGAGGGTCCTGTTACCAAACCCCAGTGGATACTAAGGGCCCACTGTAATGCCTCAACGATATTTCCAGTTGCTCAACTGATGTTTTCAGTAACTGCAGTGATCAAAATTTGAAGAGTTAAGGAAAATTTTCCTTTGGGTGACGTGGTGGCAAAATTCTTATTTTTGCATGGGCAATAACCTCGTTCGTCCCTCTCTTCCCCTTGTAGAGGCTTTGGAGGAGTTGCAAGGATTGTCGGCCCCAAGGAAAGGATTGGGGCCACTTCTAATAATAATAATAATAATAATAATAATAATAATAATAATAATAATAATGTTTATTTATATCCCGCCCCTCTGAGAACAATCAGGGCAGCTAACAATGTTAAATTTATACAATCCCATCAAATCCCCAACACCCTCCCCCCCTTAAAAAAGCATTAAATCCAGAAAGATCATTAAAACATACGGGTTAAACGACCCAAAAGTCAAAACAATTATACAATATACAAACAAATTACAGCAGCATTGATCAATAAACGGCGGTATCCAATACATAAGTACTGAAGAGGTTCCTAGAGAGTTCTGACCCATGGGCTGTACTTTCTCTGGCCTGGAACCTAGATCTCCCAGGGCAAGTCTGATATTTTAGCCATGGCACCACACTGGCATCCCGCCAAAGCAGATCTCGTGGCAAGTGAAGAGACAGCCAGGTGAAAACAGGCCATTTCTCACAGTATTGTCACCCGTCCTCCCCGGACTGACTCCCTTCTTGATTTTTTCCTAGGCGCTGTGGACATTTGAGGACGTGGTGAGGAACACACCCTTGGCACAGCCATTGCCGTATCCAGCTGTGGCACAGCAGGTCCATTACCCCACCATGGCATTGCCGATGCAGTACCCACCCATGGCCCAACAGACCCAGTATCCCGCCATTGGACACCAGGCGCCAAACCCCATCATGTCAGAGAGAATGCCATTGCTGGCTGGGAGAACGCTGATCTGCCGGGAGCCTGTGCCAGAAAATGGAAGGGGCCTCAGGCCGTACGGTAAGGAATCTCACTAGTCCTGACTCTGGAACATACTGGGGAAGCTAAGAAAGCTTGGGAAGTTACTCTTAAACAGCAATTAGTGACCATTAAGAGAGTCAGTGTCGTGTAGTGGTTTAAGTTTTGGATTATGACTTTGGAGACTGGGGTGTGATTCCCTGCTCAGCCATGAAACGCACTGGGCAAGTCACACAGTCTCAGCCTCAGGGGAAGGCCATGACAAACTTCCTCTAAAGGGCTGATGGGAGTTGAAATCCAAAACTTTATAGGCTTTAGTAGACTTCCAGCATCTTTGAGGTATACATCTGAGGCCTGCATTTCTGCTTTTGGAAAGGCTTATATTGTACTCATTGTGAGAGAATGATACAGTCGGCAGCACCGTGATTTATGTTGCTGTAAAGTGTGATATAGTGGTTTGACCATTGGACTGCGACTCTGGAGGCCAGGGTTCGATCCCTTGCTTGGACAAAAAACCCACTGGGTGACCTTGGACAAGTCACACTCTCTCAGCTTCAGGGGAAGGCAATGGCAAACATCCTTTGAAGAAACTTGCCAAGAAAACCCAATTATAGGTTCGCCTTAGGGTCGCCATAAGTTGAAACAACTTGAAGGCACAGAACAACAACAACAAAAAGTGTGGCATAGTGGTTTAAGTGTTGGACTATGACTCTGGAGACTAGGGTTCGATTCCTTGCTCAGCTGTGAAACCCAGTGAGTGAACTTAGTCAAGTCACATGCTCTCTGCCTCAGGGAACAGCAATGGGAAACCTCCTCTAAAGAAATCTCGTCCCGCCCCCCACCAAAAACAAAAAAACTCATGAAAGGGTTGCCTTAAGTTTTCTGTTAGTTGGAAACTACTTGAAGGCACACTGTAAATAACAGTAAGAATAACAGTAAGAAGAAAACTTGTACAAATAGGAAGTTGAATGAATCTGACTTTTTCACCCTTTTTCAGGACCTATCCAGGAGTTCCGGAGACCTCTCACGAACGCTGAGAGGATGCGGAACCGGAGGATGCGGAATCGAAAGCAGCGCCTGGAGACCAGCATGCAGCTTGTTGAGTCGGCGTCGAGGGCTCCCTCGATGCTTTTGGACGCCATGCGAGGGTTGCACCGCCAGGACCTGAAGGCCTTTGACCGGGCCAGGCAAGAGGAAAGGCAACACCGCAAACAGGAAAGACGCCAAGACCGAGCCACGGCCCAGCTGATGGTCAATGCCATCGAACGCTCCCACAATGACCTGGGAGAGTTCTTGGGGAGACAGACCACCACCATGGCAGCCATAGCAGCAGTATTTACCGGTCAGAGGGCTTCCTCACAAGGACCGAACCTCAACCGTGGTTCTTCTTTGGGTCACAACAACCCGCATTGGGGCCCGCCAGCATCCGGAAACCCACTGCCACCTAGTCATGTGCCTGGTATGCCTTCAGAGACCACGGCTAGGCCTGTAATTCCATGTCTGGTGCCGCCTCTGGCCACCCCCGGTGGCATCTGTGATCCCATCCCCGAACCATCATCCCCAACGAACGGTCCTCAGGAGGACACAACTCCAGATTCCCCCACACCCTCCACCTCGGACGCCACCTCACAGACCCTTGACACAAGACCGGTGCACCGAGGGACGAAAAGGAAGATGTGGGAATGACGAGAGTGGACTGCCTTTTCTTGGAAGTTTTTAGTCAATTGTTGACATGAATTTCGCCACAGGCAGGGGTTAGCGGGATGCTGTACCTTGCCCCCATCCCCATTTTAAAACAAAAAAAAACAGACCTTGGGAACTTGTTTTGAATTACAGCTCCCAGAATTTCCCAGTCAGCAGGGCACTAGGGGATTCTGGAAGTTGTGGTCTAAAAAAGTCCCTTTTTGAACCTCTGTGGTCTTAACAGGAAAACCTCGATATCTATGCAAAATGATGTAGGTAAAATCTCATATTGCTAACCGAGGAGAACTTTAGGAGTCAGAGGCCTGGGCACTGGATTTGGTAGGCCAGAGTGGATTTATTGCACAGCTTTGAGTGAGTCACCCATGCCCATCTGTAAAATGGGAATAACCAACCTACATTGCAAGGTGGTTGTGAGAGGGCTATGCAAATGCATAGGCCATTTTGTTTTGCTTCCCAAGTCATTAAAGGGACAGTGGGGAAGGTGTGGGGAGGGAATCCTCGAAGTCTGGAAAACTACTTTTCTCGGGCAATCCCTCTTTGAATTTGGGCAGCAGGGGATTCTGGGAGGGACCATTAAAAAAAACAACACTCAACTTTTCTATGCCCTGCAAAAGCAGCACTACATCTCAAGCCCCACTCTGGCCCCATAACTATTTTTCACTTCTGTTTTATTTATTATATTTATTATAAAAGTCTATATCATGCTTTTCCATGCTGACATACTCCAGTTGGCAAGCAGAAAATGAATTGAATACCCCCAGGATACAGTAGTATATACAGTTGTTCCCCTACGTTAGCTGGCGTTAGGGGAACAGGGAAAGTGGAAAAACTGCAAATAAAAAAACACTGGTTTTTTTTTACCAGAGAGAACAACTCTCTTAAGGATCTCTAGGTCCTCCAGGACAATTCTATGGGCAAGATCTGCCAGACGTTGACCATGAAATTGCGCTGGAGGACCTACAAATGCCTAGTGGAGTGTTCTCTCTAGAAAACTCTTGGTCCTCCAGTGTGACTTCTGGCAGAAGTTGACACTAGGGTCATGCTGGAAGACCTAGACATTCGTAAAGAGAACAGATTAATCAAATCTGTGAATAATCAAACCTGCAAAAGTCAATGCCGCAAATGTGGAGGGCTGACTGTACAGTAAAATGATAGCTCAGTAAGTGGTCAAGAGAAGATAAAACTAGCAGCTGCTGCCAGACTTGAAAGCAAAGCCATAGAGTGAAATATTCTACTATTTTAAAGCCATTTGTCCATGGAAGCTGTTTCATGAAGAAGACTGCTGTTACGTGATCGCTCTTGTGCCCATTTTGCAGATGGGGAAGCTGAGGCTGAGCATCAGTAGAATAGGTCCAAACTCTGATATTAAAAAGAAAAAAGAGGAAGCAACGTGTATGGTTGTTTTGCTGTGAAATCTTCATGTTCTTCATTAGATTTCCATTCCCAGCTCAGTCATAAAACCCGCTGGGTGACCTTGGGCAAGTCGCATTCTCTCAGCCTCAGAGGAAGGCAGTGGCAACCCTTCTCTGAACAAATCTTGCCAGGAAAACCCCATGATAGGTTTGCCTTAGAAGTCGGAAACGACTTGAAGGCGTGCAACAACAACAAAGTGGATGGCATCGTGAAACAGGTAGATGTTCACACCTGTGTGAGTTTGTCCTTTCCGGTGGGCAGAGCTGCTCCCAGGTTTTTGGTGCCACCTTTGCCAAGCGAACAAGGGTACCGCGCCAGTTCCTTTTTTTGTCTAGGCCTCTAAACTGGAAACTTGGTGGCTATGATCAAAACAAAGAAGGAATCCTGTGGTACCTTTAGGGCTTAATAAAATGATTTCAGCCAGATCTTTTGTGGAATATGACCGATTTCCTCAGCTACATGAAGAACAATCCATGAAAGCTCATGCTAAAATAAATCTGTTGATCTTCAAGGTGCCACGAGGTTCCCTTTTTATTGTTATGCTGGAGTAAACTACATCACGACACTCAATCTTTGCCAGAAAGTTGAGAAATATGATAGCTCCTTTGGAAATTGGGATGCTGTGTCTTTTCTATAACTCTATTCTAGACATATGGGCTCTAGTTGAATTAGGAGGTGAGGTGATCATGCCTTGTGACACCCTTGAAACGGCTAGGAGTTAATATAGATATGAGTAGTTGTCCACTGTAAGATGGCCTCCATAACCGTCCACAGGCTGAGTCTTACTTGGCTAGGTTGGGATTAAAGCTGAGGACAAAACAAGTGGGAAAAGCTACATTTCACACTGAATCCATGAATATTAATAATATTAATAATAATAATAATTAATAATAATAATAATAATTTATATCCTGCTTCTTGACAGCAATCTAAGCGGCTCACGATAAAATCCATACAGCATATCCCCGGACCCACCCCTTAAAACAGTATTAAATAACAGATAGTTAAAACGTAAACAATATAAACATGCTAGAATAAACCATATTAAGAACAGATTGCAGAGCCCTAAACAACCTCTACTGCGTTCCTTATCCATCAACAGATGATGGGGCCATGAAAGGAACGCAGGAGTCAAAGAGCCCTGGCCGGGATAATTAATCCGGAAAGGCCTGCTGGAAGAGATCCGTCTTGACAGCTTTTTTAAAGCTGTCTAGTGATGTCAACTGACAGATCTCGTCCGGCAGGTCGTTCCAGAGTTTAGGGGCAACAACAGAAAAAGCCCCCTGGGAGGTCGCCATAGAATGAAGCCATAGAGCAGGGGAGCCATTCTTTGTGGGGTGTGTGTCTTTTAAATAGGGCCAGCGTGATGTCATGGTTTGAGTGTCAGACTATGGAGACTAGGGTTCAAATCTCCACTGAGCAATGGAAACCCTCTGGATGAACTTGAGTGAGTCACACACTCAGCCCCAAAACACCCTGTGACAGGGTTGCCATAAGTCGAAAATGACTTGAAGGCACACAACTACCAGGTTAGATGAGCCCGTCTTAGCAGTGCTTTCATCCTGGATGGCAGGGGGTTGGAGTAGATGGTCTTTGGGGTCCCTTCTGACCCTATGATTCTGTGGTCTTTTATCTTTGATCAAGCTGGCTGAGGGAAGTTGAAATGGTATGGGGAACCAAAGGGTTGGATAGTGCTGGGGTTGATACCTGTTCTACCATGTCTCTTTTTTGTTCAGCCACTGTTTGTGTGTCTGTGTTGTTGTGTCCAGACAGGTGAGAAATCTGTTGAATGAATCAAACAGCAACACTCCAGAGTACACAATCGCTCTGATTCCAGTGATCTCTTGCAGCTTGGAAGAGTTACTTTATTGGACTGCCAACTCCCAGTGTCCACACTAGCATACCCATATTGGCTAGGAGATTCTGGGATATGCAGTCTATAGAGCAGGGGTAGGCAACCTAAGGTCCAGGCCGGTCTTGCCGCCTCCGCCACCTGCCATGATGATATTAATTATTATTGTTATTACTTGTTCTTGGGGTTTTCTTGGCAAAATCTCCACAGGGGTTTTGCCATGGCTTTTCTGGGGCTGAGAGAGTGTGCATGCATATTTTTTATTTTAAAAAAATATTTTTATTTATTTATTTATTTATTTATTTATTTTTGGTGCTTCGGCCCCCCAATTGTCTGAGGGACATCAACCCGGCCCTGGCTCAAAAAGGTTGCCTACCCCTGCTATAGAGTAACTTGTAAGTGCTCTGCTCTGGCCAGATATCGACTGGTGTGCCTTTGAGATGCTTTTGACTATTCCAACAATGGGCCCTGGCCCATGCTGACTGGAAGCTTCTGGGAACTGAAGTCCAGAAAGTCTGGAGAGCTGGCAGTCCCGCCATCCCTGGCAATAGGGAGTTGGCCTTATGTGACCTTGGGCAAGTCACACTCTCTCAGCCTCAGGGGAAGGCAATGGCAAACGTCCTCTGAACAAATCTTGTCAAGAAAAGCCCATGATATGGCCTTAGGGTTGCCATAAGTCAGAAGCAACTTGAAAGCACAGAACAACAACAAGATCATGACTTACCAAAAGAGGAGAGCTTTAAGATCCTGCAACCTTGCAAGAATGGATCCCCTC